TTTCTAAGTGCATGAAGATCATGATATGTCTTGTGGAGAAAATGCCTGTGTTAGATAAGCTTCATTCAGAGACTGGTGTGGTGGCTCATGCCTGCCAGCCTAGCATTTAGGGAGGCCGAGGTGGGAGGATTGCTTGAGCCTAGGAGTTTGAGACCAGTCTGGACAACATAGCTAGACCTTGTCTCTATGTTTTGTTTTTTTTTTGAGGTGAAATCTTACTCTATCGCCTAGGCCGGAGTGCAGTGGCACGCTCACAGCCACCCCAGTGTCGACCTGCTGGACTTGTGCGATCCTTCCACCTCAGTCTTCAAGTAGCTGGAACTACAGGCACGCGCTACCACCCCTGGCTAATTTTATTTTTGCTTTATTGTAGAGACGAGGTCTCACCATATTGCCCAGGCTGGTCTTGAACCCACGGGCTCAGGCAGTTCTCTCACCTCAGCCTCCCAAAGTGCTGGGATTACAGGCTTGAGCCACTGCGCCTGGCAGAACTTGTCTTTATTTAAAAAGAAATAATAATAAAACTTCATTCAGTCATGAGTTATGGTGCTGTTGACCATGAGTTTAATATTAATGAATCAACAATATATATATGAAATGAGATATCTTTAAACAGAAAAACACATAAAACAAGTTGACGTGTGGAATGCTTGATGAAAATGTTGTAACCACAGACTCACAGGAGCCTTGTATTTTCCTAGGGACAATAGTTTAACAGTTCCGCTAATTCAGTGTTCACAGTGACTTTGTAGAACTTAACTATGACACCAATAAAGAACTTTACTATCATTGAACTTTATCTGAAATAAGCCTGGCTTATTTGTTTCTTTGCCTATTGTCTGATTCCTCCAACTAAGCTTCAGGAGAACAGGGACCTTAGTTGGTTTGGTTCACTTTTACACTCAGTGCCTGATATGCATTCAACACATTTTGTTAAGTGAATGGATGAATAGATGGATGAATAATAAGTAAGCAAACACTTATTTAACATCTCCTTTTAGTTCTAAGCTAGATGATAAAAAGAAAATCTTTTTCCTCCCTCTCTATTATCTTGTAAAAAAGAAAATCTTGGCCTGTAATCCCAGCACTTTGAGAGGCTGAGGCTAGAAGATTGCCTGAGCCCAGGGGTTCGAGACCAGTCTGGGCAACTTGGTGAGAACTCATCTCTACAATCAATCAAAAAACTAGCCAGCCTTGGTGGTGTGCACCTGTTTTTCCAGCTCCTTGGAAGGCTGAGGCAGAAGATCACCTGAGCCCAGCAGGTCGAGGCTGCAGTAGCTGTGTCACTGCACTCCAGCCTGGGTGACAGAGTGAGACTCTGACTAAAAAAAAAAAAGAAAAAAGAAAGAAAGAAAAGAAAATCTTAATCTAAGACTATTTTAAATTTTTTTTTTAAAGTTTAAAGACAACCATATTTTGGGATGACTTGAAAATATAATAATTATTTTACAGCTATTAGTTTTAAACAATTAGTTTATCCCAACCCTGATTCTCCTTACGGCTAATGAGTAAGTAAGCACATTCTCTAAAGAATTTGTTTTGAGTGAGTTTTTTTATTTTCTGCCCTGGAACATACCTACTTTGTTCTTTTTAGTATCTCTTCTTACATGTCTTTTTAAAGGTTCTTTTATTAGTCCTGCATGTCCTATGAAAAAATATCCTTAACTTTTCTCTTTCCACTAGATCTTTCCACTAGAATTGGGTAGAGACCATGTTTCTAGGAAACATCAAACATTTGGTTTTTCATTATTTCAGCACATTCCTTAAGTTACACATTCTTGTAACTGTGGCTTTAAAAAAAAAGAAACCTTTTTATTATAGAAAATTTCAAATATACACAAAAGAGTAGAGATAATAGTATAATGAGTCCTTACATATTTATCATGTAAACTTTTTAGAAAAAGTCAGTTTTAAGAATACTTTCTCTTGACTTGGTAGGATAAAATGCCCCAAGAGGATTGCTCGCTGGTGCAGCCTTGGTCTGGAGTGTTCAGAAATGCAAGGGTATGAAGCATTGTTAGTCCCTAATCACCTCTTCTGTCCTGGAGAGGGACTCAGTGAGGAGGCTGCCTTAAAGCTAAAAGAAAGTTGTCTGGTCATTTTCACCTTTATAAATAAAAGGAGAAATGAGTTCTTAGAATGGAGTCTGGATTGTAATTCTAAGAGTTTTTTTTTTTTGAGACGTTGGAAATTATAATTTATAATTATATTTTAGTTTAGTTTTGCTGTCATTTTCATTTCTGTTGCTGCCCTTATGATTGTCTTGTTTGTTTTCTCAAGTCTTTAGCAACAAATCCTATGAAATCAAAAGAGCTTGTCCTCAAGAACATCAAAGAAAGAACGAACCACTCTTCTTTCTTTGTTGCTTGGAAGGAGGATCAATAGAGAGGGTGGTGGCAGCTTTAGAGAAAAAGCCTGTGAGCCTTGCCGCAGGGAAGGAAGAGGGGGCTGGGACAGGGGACTTGGCAGGTCAGGTTGGAGCAGCCCAAATGGGCCCTTGGCACCAGGGCTGAGTTGAGGCTCTCGCCTTCTCTTCACTATCCTTGACTCCATGGCTCTCCACCCCCATTCTGCAGCCCATGACTGGGGGTCTACACCCTCACCTTGAACTCCCAATACTGCTATTTCTTTTTCTTTTTCTTTTGAGTTGGCATCTCACTCTGTCGCCCAGACTGGAGTGCAGTGGCCGCTCCCGGCCACCGCAGCCTCGACCTGCTGGGCTCCGGCGATCCTTCCGCCTCAGCCTTCCGAGTAGCCGGAATTACAGGCATGCGCTGCCACGCCCGGCTGATTTTTGATTTATGGTAGAGATGAGGTCTCGCCTGCCCGGGCAGGCCTCGAACCCGCGGGCTCAGGCAATTCACTCACCTCAGCCTCCCAAAGACGCGGGCTTACAGGCTGAGCCACCGAGCCCAGCTCCAATACTGCTATTTCAAACAGACCCAAGCCCTTATCACCAAATCCAAAGACTTTTCCTCCTTTATTTTTAGCTCGTTTTCTAATGTAACAATAAATTACCTCTCCAGGAGCTGACACAGCTGGCTCCTCAGGGTGAGCCTTACTTGGAGATGTTTCACCTGTTACCACTCTCGCATTACTGGGGCTACCTTAGTGTCTCCTCCTCCTCTCCCTTCCTCCTTTTCCCTCTTTCTCCTCTTCCCTTTGCCCTCACCTTTTCCCTCTCAATCCCATATTCTTCTTCCCTCCCTCTCTGGTGGTGTGCCACACATGCTTGTTCCAGCGATGTTAAACTACATTCTGGTGCTATGTTGACTCTTACCTGGAAAAAGACTAGCTTTTTTGTTTGTTTATTTGTTTTTAAGAGCTAGGGTATCACTCTGTTGCTCAGGCTGAGTGCAGTGATCAGAGCTCACTGCAGCCTTGACCTCCAGGTCTCATGTGATCCTCCTGCCGCAGCCTCTTGAGCAGCTGGTACTATAGGCCACCACACTTGGCTAATTTTAATTTTTTGCAGTGACAGTATCTTGCTGTGTTAACCAGGCTGATCTTGAACTCTTGGCCTAAGGCAATCCTCCTGCCTTGGCTTCCCAAAGAACTGGGATTACAGGTGTGAGTCACCAAACCTGACCGAGACAAGCTTTTGTACATGTTTTTCCTTTGCTAGGAGACTTCTTCTCCTCCTCCTCTTTCCCCAACTCCCCTGCCCTTACTTTGTTAGCTTCTTCCAGAAAGGCTTTCCAGAAAGAAACTGTATTATATTATCCATTTCCTGGTTTGTGCGTGCTTTCTTTTTTTTTTTTAATTTTATTTTGAGCTGGAGTCTCATTCCATCGCCCAGGCTGGAGTGCAGTGGCACGCTCATGGACACTGCAACCTTGACCTGCTGGGCTCAGGTGATCCTTCTGCCTCAGCCTTCCAAGTAGCTGGAACTACAGGCATGTGCCACCATGCCCGGTTAGTTTTTTGATTTATTGTAGAGACGAATTCTTACCATGTTGCCCAGGCTGTTCTTGAACCCGTGGGCTCAGGCAGTCCTCTCACCTTGGCCTCCCAAAGTGCTGGGATTAAAGACTTGAGCCACTGCACCAGGTCCTTGTTTATGTTTTGTGTGTGTGTGTGTGTGTGAGTGTGTGTGTGTGTGTGTGTGTGTGTCTGTGTGTGTGTTTTGCTGGATTCTGGACTCCTCAAGGGTAGGGACTGCTTTGTTTAGCATGTTCCTCCAATGTGTTGTATGATTCTTGGCATGGAATCGACCTTCAGTCAATAATTTATTTTGTACAAATGGATGAGTACGGCTGATTCTGGATATCTCTGACAATTTTTTGGAATGATTGGAAAAAAATGGATGTAAAATGCCCAGCAAGGAGCCTGGCATAATAGGCATTCAATAAATTGTAACTGTGGTGGTTGCTGTCATTCTTTGCCATTTCCACTGGATTTCTGAGAGCAGGAGCTCACTCAGGGTTGTACTCTTCGGAATTTAGTAATGCCTTGCATGTCGCAGGCAATATAGATGACTGAATCAAATATATGTTTAGTATATTAAATAAGCAGGTTACATGATTGATTATACTTGTGTGTCCATGTTTCGAATACAATAATGGGTACTTTGAGATGTATTTTACATATATTTTCCATGGAGCACAGAAATTGTCTTTTTTTTTTGCAGGTGCAAATACATTTTATAATGGTAATTTTTTGGAGATAATCCAAGTATTGTCTTGTAGATGATAACTTGCTGTTGGACTTTACATTTAAAAAATATTGTCAAATATCTGTAACTTGAAATAATTCATTAAAATATTTAAAATTAAAAAGAGAAAATTCTGACTACGTATTTTTGCCTTATTCTTAAAGGTCTCTTGTTTTACAATTTCAAGAATATATATTTACATGTTAAAAGCAAGATTTTCATTTAAATCTATATTGTATTTAATTTGTATGATGGAGAACAATTTAGAAAAAATACTTCATTCTAACATAACTTTTTTCTTTGTATTTTGTGTCCTATATCTGGAGCAGCATCTCACTTTCATCAGCACTGCTGAAAGAAGGAAAAACGTCAGTGCTATCTCCTGAAACCAAATTTGAGACTTCTAAAGTCACCAGAAGTTCCCTTGACAGTTGTTTTCCTTTTGAGAGTAGTTGGAGAAAAGCAGTCTTAGAAACACAAAAAATAAGGAAAGGTAACTTCATTTTTATTGTTTATTTTACTTAAGAAAATATAGAAATAGTGCCTTGAATTTACATGGTTTTTTTAAGCAGTCAAGATACATTTTATAACTTCTGTGACATTGATGTAAGGATAATATCTTAAATTTATGGAAAATAATAAAAGCAAATTTCAGTTAATTTAATTAAAATAATTTTGGGACTCATGATAGAAACAAATTTGAAAGAATGACTTTTCTTAATATTCTGTATAGTATTATTCTGCTGGTTCACACTCCTTTTCCTAGTGTTTAAATTTCAAGTTGATTTTATATATTAGGACACTTGAGTCTTTTTTTAAATTTAATTTTTAAATTTAATTTTAAAGATGTGGGGTACAGTTCAGGATTAGACATGCAAGTCTTTAATAAGACCTTTGTGTATTGATAATTCCAACCAGACTTTATTTTTGAGTGAGTTATGTGGAGAGTATCTTATATCTGATAGTTGCTCAGTAAAGACTAGTTTGAGAATTTTGTCATGTGTATGAGTGTATGAATAGCTTCTTCCCCTCACTTTCAAGTTATAACTGTTTTCTAAATTCTGCATTTAGCCTTACTAATGGAAATATAATTATTGAAAATAGCAAATTTCTGGCCAGGCTTGGTGACTCAGTCTGTAATCCTAGTACTTTGGGAGGTTGAGGCAAGTGGATTGCTTGAGCCCATGGGTTCAAGACCAGCCCAGGTAACTTGGCGACACCTCATGTCTACAGTAAATAAAAAAATTAGCTGGGCATGGTAGCACGAGCCTGTAGTTCCAGCTACTTGGAAGGCTGAGGCGGAAGGATCGCGGGAGCCCAGCAGGTTGACTCTGGGGTGGCCATGAGTGTGCCACTGCCCTCCAGCCTGGGTGATGGAGTGAGATTTCAACTCAAAAAAAAGAAAAGAAAATAGCAAATTTTAACTATTCAACTATTTCATCCCTCCTGGTTTTGCTAAACATTTTTGTCAACTTTCTCGAACCTGGTCCTCAGGAGACACTGGTCTATCCACTCTCCTACACCCCAAATCTAATTGTTAAAAAATAGAATCTCGGTCGGGCTCGGTGGCTCAGCCTGTAATCCCAGCACTTTGGGAGGCTGAGGTGAGTGGATTGCCTGAGCCTGCGGGTTCGAGACCCGCCTGGGCAACTTGACAAGATCGCATCTCTACAACAAATCAAAAATTAGGTGGGCGTGGTAGCGCGCGCCTGTAGTTCCAGCTACTTGGAAGGCTGAGGCGGAAGGATCGCCGGAGCCCAGCAGGTCGAGGCTGCAGTGGCTGGGAGCGGCCACTGCACTCCAGTCTAGGCGACAGAGTGAGACTCCAACTCAAAAAAAAAAAAAGAAAAAAAAGAATCTACATGGTTTTTGATCAAGAGAAGCAAAACTTATCTTTTTTCCAAAAGAAAAAAAAAAATCAAAGGTTGCAAAATAGCATTTTAAATATTTGGTATGATAATTTCAGTCCCATTAAATACCATTTTGTTACTATGCTAGACTTGCTTTGTAGAAAAAGCTTAAAAAAATCTCTATGTTTAGTTTATTTATTTATTTTTTAAATTTTTTTATTTTTTGGGGTTGGAGTCGCACTCTGTCGCCCAGACTGGAGTGCAGTGGCCGCTCC